ATCTTAGAAACAAGACAAAACAGTAGCACACATAAGGAAAGAATGGTAAAATGCATAACTCTGGTCCTAGATATATTTTTCTAAATCAAAATTGCAAATCAATGCTATTAACATAGTTTTATTAATATATGTGAGCAGTATATCAATATATATGATCAACATGTGAGCAAATTTAAAATAAGCTATCCAGCATCACTTGTACTATCTAGCATCACATGCACCACTGAACCATAAACAGTTCAATTTAATTAAACATATGTTTAGATATATATGTGGTAAATTTATGAAATATAACATTTTTTTCATGGAACTGCTTCAGTAGGATGACTAAATAAACATAATACTTAAGCTCACCCTTCTAATTTCTGAACACAAAAGCATTCCTTTGTTCTCAATTGCAGGAAACTTGTACCTTTGAAATACCATAACACCAGTTTTTTTGGCAACAGAATCAAGCTTATTAGGCTCTGAGAAAACTCACCTATGCAAATAATTACTTTTTTGTAATAACAGGAAAATATAGGCTGCCACATTTTTCTAAAAACTGAGATCCACACAGCAAATCAATGTAAAACATTTCTGTCCTAATAGTTTTCAAGAGACATTCTTCACAATACTTGAAATAAAATGTCTCTCCTCCAACTCAAGCCTACTGAAGAGATTTTGTTTTATTTTAGTCTAGAGAGTGCTTTATCAATGCATGTCAAAGGGGAAAATTGACATATAGGGCTACATTTCTTGGCAATTCTTTTCATCGTCTACTGCAATTGTATTTTATACCAGTTTTTAACTTGATGCTTTATATCACATATTTAGTATTCCTCTAGACTTGATGTTTTAATAACATCCAGCTCACACTTGAAGACATTAATCCCTTACTGAGTTCAATAAAACTCTCACAAGGGGGAGATCTTCTTATTCACACAGCACCCTTTGTTGAGTTTGAGTTAAAACATGCATATGTCCTTCAAGATATTTCAATGGTATTTAACTGAAACCACCATAAGGACACCTAAAGAACTACAGCAACAGAAACCTGAGAACTAGATATTTTAGAAGATTCAATACAACCAGAGTGAGCATTTTCCAAGATTAATGCAGAAATCAAGAACAATTGGGCTATATGTTTATCTCTTGGGCAACCACAAGACAAATGATTTCAACAAATGTGCCTTGTAATGTTAATGCTACCAGAGTTCATAACGAGACAATTTATTGTTTTAACTTTGTTGTTCAATAACAATTCATCAGCTTTGGGGTTTAGCTCACCAGTTCACAGGAGTTCTTTTATTTGTTTTTTAATTAACTAAGTTTATCGTCAAATGCAGCAGATTTAAAAGATAAAAGATGTTTTGTAAAATTCCACTGTCTTTTGCTTAAATACTATAAATGATGTGGAGACTTTGGCGGTTTTGTTACTGAAAATTCAGCAAAGAAAAGGAAAAAAGAATCACAAAGTAAATAAATAGAAGAGCTGATAATCCTATGCATGTCTAGTGCCTACTCACAATATACTTATTTCCCAATTCAAAACTCATACTCAGTTGCTTTTGTGCTTTTGAACCACTGTTATGCATATGCAAATATAAATGTAAAATTCAACCTTAGGCTGGAAGATTGGCCAATATTTGCTAAGGAATAACTTGAACAAAAAGAATTTGCATGAACTTTATATTTATTTGTGAAGTTATATGGCACAAAATGAGAGTTATAAGAATTATAAAATATAATACCTACTGGAAGTCACAGTTATCTTAACATGGAAAATTTAGGCAGCACGAATGTAACTAATTAATAACATCTGAAGTACATTCTCCCCTAGGACTGATGACCATCTGGTTGACCTTGCAGTAGATCAATAGGAAAGACAAATCTGTAAATCACTGTTTTCCAAATGTTATCACTCCATCATTTCACCAAAAGAAGGATGGAATGTGGATAGGAGAAGAGACCTCTTGTTTCATACAGCTTTAAATTGACTGTAATGCTTACTTGGAACTAAAGTGACAGGAGACTGAGTGGTTTCTTCTAAAGTTCCACCCAGAAAGAGACAAAGGAACAAGCTATACTGAGGGAGATGATTCTAATACGAAAGAGCCAGTAGGCAAAGTGATTACAAGAGAAAATAAAGATAAAATAAAGAAATAAAATAAAGAAAGAAGGCCAGTTGTGGTAGCTCAAGCCTGTAATCCCAGCAATTCGGCAGGGCAAGTCAAGAGGATTGCCTGAGCCCAGGGATTTGAGACCAGTCTGGGCAACTTGGTGAAACCTTGTCTCCAATAAATCAAAAAATTAGCTGGGCGTGGAGGCACGCACCTGTAGTTCCAGCTACTTGGAAGGATGAGGTGGAAGGATTGCCTAAGCTCAGCAGGTTGAGGCTGTGGTGGTCGGGAGCATGCCACTGCACTTCAGCCTGGGCGACAGAGTGAGACTCAGAATCAAAAATAAATAAATAAATATTCTTCCAATCCTTGATTTTAATTGAGAAACACTGATATAAATTTTGAAATATGAACTAAATGAAAGCATATATCCATACGTATTTAAATAAATATACATATTTATAAATATTAACCCTGTACAAAGCTCTATACTTTGGTGTCAATAGTAAACTATTTTAGAGGAAACTTAATAACCTACTCCATGTGATGCTCAGATAAGCCATCATTTGAATAATGAGAAACTTTAAATTACATGAAATTTGGAACAGACATCTTAAGCAGATACACTGTGAAATTCCTTAAGAAAATTATGTTGAATTAATGGTTAAAATCTGTACATTTTTACAACTGTTTTTGTCCAAGAAACTTTTTCTATGATATCTTTTCTAATATATAGTTCATTTTAGGGGTTTTTTAAACAAGCAATTTAGAAATTGTGGGATTTTGCTAGATTTTTTTTCTCTATGGATATATCTCTCTAAAAGAGCATTCAAAATAAGTGGTATCTCTCCCGAGAGTACTAGTAATGATCTTGAGAAGGACAAAATATCAGGTATAGAACTTTCAGCCCAAAGTTTCTTTTGCCATGTCATATTCTACATCAGTTATAAATTAAGGCAAGTCTTAGTGTGCCAGAATCTATTTTGAAAGCAATTATAATATCAGGCATGTGGTATTTTAAAATCTCATGATAACTTCTAGTCACTGTAGAGTACAGCAGTCACTGCCCTACATAGTATTGAAGTTTGGTTCTGAGAGATTGTATTATGTAATTTCCTTCTGTGAAACATAAATTGACAATGTCTTTTCAAATACAGACTTAATTAATTATCTCTGTTCACATACTTTTTGTTTATATTTACATAAAAAGTTTGAATTTGTTTTGATGTAATAGAAGGAAGAATGGGTTTAGATATCAATTCATTAAGCCATGCCATCTCTCTATATGCTAGAGAAGTATATAAAAAAGAAGGGAAACTGTACTTCTTCTGAATACTTTTTCATTTTTCATTTGCTACTTCATAGCTCTTGGACAGGCATGGTGGGTCACACCTATAATCCCAGCACTTTGGGAGGCTGAGGTGGGAGGATTGTTTGAGTCCAGGAGTTCAAGACCAGCCTGGGAAACAGCGAAATTTCATCTCTACAAAAATTAAAAAAAGAAGTCAGGCATGGAGGTACACACCTGTAGTCTCAGCTACTCAGGAGGCTAAGGTGGGAGGATCACTTGAGGCCAGGATCAGTTGAGGCTGTGGTGAGCCACAAGTGTGCCACTGCATTCCAACCTGGGCAACAGAGTGAGACTTCAACTCAAAAAAGAAGATATCTCATAGTTCTCAACTTGGGAGAAAAATTGTGAGCAGACTACAAGATGTTTCAGTAATTAAGGGAAGTAAAAAGGATACTTCAAAGGATCTGTTTTTCCCATTCTTCACAACTTAACAGCATAGCTATGGGTTTTAAGAGGAATGTCTGGCTTGAAGGCTAAGGAAACTATTAGAAGCTCACACACTCTAAGTTCCAAATATGGTTCCTTCAGTGCTTATTATGACCTTGGAAAAAGCACTTAGTGACTTAAAAAGAAAGAGATAAAAAAAGATAGCCACTTGACTTATAAGTGTCAGTCATTCCACTATTTGAGATTTGAGGTAACAGGGAGTTTCAGAGACGCCTTGCAGAGGAAAGACTGAGAATATATTGCAAATGGAAATGACAATATTTGCAATGACACTGAGGTTTAGGCAGACAGAGTTGCATAAACTCTGTAATATAGTAAAAAACTATCTATGACCTTGATTGACAGACTGGTGTTCCTCATCCATTTCTTACTCCATCTGTTCAATTAGTATGAGTTATTTAACTAACTAAAATAATCCATCTATAAGCCATTTGAACTATATACATTAAAGCTCATGCACACCATTCCCTCAGAAGACCCTGCACCTTTTGCATATGTGTAAATATGAAATCACACCCATTTCTCTAAGCTTCTAAGGAAAATATTTGTATACAACAACCAAAAACATATTTCCAATTACCCTTTTCAATTCATTAGAAAACTATGACAAACTCAGAAAATCTTTGTGTAAATAGAATAAGCACCATTAGAACAACACGAAGTAACCAGTTTTGAGGTTAATGCCAAACATTAACTGGGAGTTTTTAAGTAGTTAAACCTTATAGCTCTTTCTGCCGTTAAAGATGTGAACAAAGGGGATATTTCTCAACATAACAGGTGAATAGTAAGATCACTGATGTGAGGCCTTTGAGCTCTTGACTATCTCTTTCCCTATGCACACACATGCAAACATAGAAGAATTCTTTTCTGAAAAGACAGCATATACTTCAACCACTTTCATGAATATTACCTCAAATGCAACAGGTGTTTTTGTCTATTAACCAATAATTCAAAATTACCTCTGAAAGTCTAGTAATGTTTTCAAAAATAAATATTCAGTAACATTTTACTCTCTTTAGCTTATTAATTTTTGAATCTGTATAAGGAAGAAAAAATACTTCAAATAATGTGTTTCCCAGAGTGTTTATCAACTCTCTTACCATCAAATGTTAAATAAACTCTTGCTTGGGGCTGGGAAGATCCTTTTACACAGATTGAACAAATAAATGCTCCAACCAACACACAAACTGCCCGGAATGCCATTTCTTCAGATTTGCAAGTTAATATCCAAGGGAAAATACCTTTAAAAGAGAGATAATAAGTTTGTTATATCTCATTTCACATTTTAAGAGTGCAAAACACAGCAATCTAGACAAAACACCCTATTCACAAAAGACACATCTGAACTTTTACAGAAATGCAAACAGTAGGAGGTGCTATGACTTTGCTTCTCAGATGTGAAAAATTTGAATTGGATTAATTTGTGTCTGGAAGTCTTTGCAACCAGAGAGACTTTCATCTTTCAGTAAAATCATGCTACTATCAAAACAGAATAAAGCAGTGACAAAAAACTTATTGATTCCCAAAGGAAAACCTAATATTTTAACTGATCATCTCTCTAGACGTCCCATTACATTAAAATGACTTGAGAATTGTGTTAATAGACTATTATCAGATGAAAACTCTTCCCCCCATAAATATAACAGTAGTAGAGAAATTCCACATGACCATTCACATGTACCCACTCCCATACTCATTAGCTCTTTTAGAGTAAATGTCTTAGAAATGGTGTTTGTATACATAAATCTATGTATGCTCAGTCCTTGATCACTAAAGTCGCTGAAATCAGTTATCTTCCAATTTATCCAGATGACCAAGCAGCTGCTAAATGGTGCGGATGAGGTAACCATGGACTCGTGCCAAAATCAAACCAATGAACTAGTAGTGAGCAATCCAGGAAGCCAAGTATCCACCAATGCATATTTTAAATAAATCTACCAGAAAGTGGGCTGTCAAAATTCCAAAAGATAAATCAAAGAGACAAGTATTACTGCTTGAAACTGTAGCTATAAAATTGATACATGCTATTAACTAATGCCTGAATCCCAAAGAAGATCAGGAAATGTGTTAGGAAAAACCCACAGGAGCTCTAGTGGCTGCAATATGCAAAATAAACTCAAGACCATTAAAGAAATCGGATCATTTTGCGTCTACCGTAATTATGCGATAAAATGACCTGACATTTTAATGTAGAAATTTATTTTTACAGGTTACAACAGTGCTGATCTTCAACATATGATGTGGTCAATATCACTAATTTCATCACTAATTTTATTCACTTATTTGAAAGTGTCAGTAACAACTGAAAATGACTGCCTCATTAATACAGAAGAAAAAGAACAATTAATCTGAAAATGCAATTTTAAACAAAGTTCCTATACTATGAGAATTAGAAATGAATTTGTATGCTTCTTTTACCACACAGATGGAGGAAACCCTAGAGATGTTTGTGTTGGTAATTTTCAAAAGAAACAGTTTCTTCCTGCTTCCACAACCTCTTCACCCTGTCATCCCTAAATTAACTTAGAAGAAACTTGATTTAATGGGTGACTTCCCTTAGTAATTTGCCCCTTGGTTTTGTTGACTTTATAGTTACAGCAAAAAAAAAAAAAAAAAAAAAAAAAAAGCTATTGATATGCCTAAGCTTTGTATGCTTATTGAGCGGGTTGATACTATTTACACTTAAAAAAAAATATTTCTATTACCAGTATCACATCATATATGCCTCTCTCAAAGGAATACATGGTATCAATTTCAAAGAATAATACTGGGATGAGATAACAGGTGAAATGAAGGAGTCTACCAGGCAATGTGATTTCCATCCTACCTAGCGACGAGAGGTGGGTGTCTTAAATCCGCTCCCTCCACCACCCCCAGCCCCCAAGTCCTATCTTACAACTTCTTCCTTTAACTAAGACACAGAGGCCCCTCTTCGCGTTTTCACTTCTACGGATTGCAAACTAATACAATGTAAGAAAAGAATTCGTTTGCGTCCGCACGAGCAATTCTGACTTAGAAGGCACTGTACTACCCAACTTTAAACTCTCCGCAGGTGTCACAGCCTAAAGAAACAACTCAAGCCGGGCACTCCGCGAGGGAAACGCTTGCCTGACAAACCGCGTGCGCTCCTAAGAAAACGTCCAGGCGTGAGCACACCGAGGTATGAAAAGTCAATACACAGGCCAAAAGTTGGATGGGGCTCAACGTGTCATGCTGAAAATGAGGAATTCCGCTTACCGAGGCTGGAAGAAGTCAGCACGGGCGAGTCACAGGTCTGCCTCCCGGTTGGATCCGCGCGCGTCTCTGGTCCTCTTCCCAGAAGACCTTAATTTCTAGCGCGTCCCACCGGGGAGAGTCTCCGAGACCTCCGAGTTTCTTTGTAAAGGAATCCCCCCGCTGCCGGCCGCGGCACCCGGCGCCCTTCTCCGCGTCGCTCACTCAGGCACCTCGGAGTGAATGGAGAGCGGCCCGGCGCAGGGGCCGTGCGCTCTGGTGTCCGGTTACAGCGACGCGGCGCGCGGCTCGCCTCGCCCGCCCGGCCCCGCCGCTGCATCCCCGCCGGCCGCGAGGCCCCACCCCGAGCGCGCCCGCGAGCCTGG